TTTGGAGGTTGCTTTTGCAGCATCTACCCGGGTAATGGTGGTGGCATACTGCGCAGATCCAACCTTGGCCTGGAAACCATGAATCTGTTGCGGTGATGCCACCCCATCATAGGGTACTAGAGGCTCAATGCTCAGTGGGGACCCTATTTTTCTCTCTGTGACGAGATTGTATTTGTGTGCCATGCTCTCGATGTAGCTATCTTGGCATAACCAGAGCTTCTTCTGCTCTCTATCACGTATAATACGTATATTCAAGAACCAGCTTGCATCCAGTTCTCGAAGCTCCCATTGCTTCTTTAGATTTTGATCTAGTAAAGCGGCTTCTTTAGCCTGTTTGGGGTGATTGACGATGATGATATCGTCCACGTAGAAAAAGACAATAATGCCTTTGGTTGTAAAGATGCATGGATCTTCTTCCACTGGGGTAAGGCCTAGTTTTACTAGCACCTTTGTAGCTTCTTGCTGCCAAAGCCTTGGTGACATGCGCAATCCGTAGAGGGCTCTATGCAGGAGCCAGCACTGATTTAGTGCTTCGAAGCCTGGTGGACACTTGGTATAAACCTCGCTTTCTAGCATTGAATTCAGGAATGCGGTAACCACATCTCTCTGAATCATATCTAGATCAAAGGCGGCAACTAGTGCGAATACTGCTCTCGCTGTTTTGACAGCTAGTGTAGCAGCTCTCTTTTCTTCAGTTGACATCCACTGTAGATCTCCTCTCACGCAGATTCTTGCTTTGAACTTCTCGAGCATACCATCTGCATCAAATTTGTATGTAAATACCCACTTCAATGGCAAGATCTGGGTGCTCTTTTTGTTCGGTAATGCAACCTGAGAGAAGGTCTCTTTAGCCTTTAAGGTCTCAATTTCAAACTCCGCAGCTGCCTTCAATTGCGTGGCAAAGGGATGGATTTTTAGCCGCTTCCAGTTCTCTGGTGGTGGAGGCATCTGATCTCTATGCAGTCTGTTTTGCATATTGAGCTTCTTCGTAATACCTGTTGTAAAGGCATATAGAAGGCTTGGTGGCTCGGCTAGCTGTTTCTCGTCTAGCGATAGATATGCAGTGTAGTCTGGATCTGCCTTTGGCTTCCGTATTCTGGGGCCTGAGATGATGTTAGATTCATCAATTGACGCAGAGATCTCTCTAGTAGGCCGATCTTCTGGCTCTGGAGTAGGCGTATACTGCATCTCTTGTTGCAATTGACGCTCTATCTCTGCTTCATCTTCATCATATTGATCTCCCTCTCCCCCTTCAGCTTCGATCGACTGTATGACATTGATCGGATCTGGCGAAGATAGCGAGGTAGGAGATCTCTCATGTGGCGTACTCTCAATCGTAGCAATCGACGATAGTGCTCTTTGTGGTGAGGCTCTCTGTGGTGACATAGGGAAGCTCCCAGGGATCTGTTCTTGATCCCTTACCTCTATCATTGAGATATGTTCTACCACTGAAGCAGGGCCTGCCATTGAAGCCGGTGTTAAAGGTAAAACAGGTGTTTCCTTTAAAGGGGGGACCCTTGGTGTCTCCTCCCTACTATCTAGAGTTTGAGCTTGCTCCACAACTCTAGATTCCTGGATTTCTTCATTTACCGCCTCTGGTGCAGTACCTTGTTCTCGGTTTTCGACGTCATCATTGAGAGTTATGCGAGCAATTGACATCGGCATACGCATCTCTATGCTCAATTCTGACTGCGCTTCTTCCATTGAGAGCACTTGGGGCCAGTTCTTAGCGCTTAGTCCATTTGTCATAGTACTAATTGCATCTTCTTCTTGCGGTAAAGGCTTCGTTTTAGAGTACTGTCTCGATTCATCGAATACAGCATCTCTTACAACTTCAACTCTGCCTATGCCTGCTCGCCCTTTGTATGGAAACCAGATCTTGTATAGGCTCTTTGAAACATAGCCTACAAGATAGCCGATCTCTGCTCTCGGAGCCATCTTGTTAGATTGTACTCTCTTCAGAAGCCTTGAGTACGTTAAGCACCCATATAGCCTCATATTCGACAGGTTGACAATTTGATCTTTTAAGCCATCTGGAGCCGCATAGCGCATCAATTCCTTCCATGGTATGATCCACTTACCATCCATCTTTGTAGGGGTACGATTCATCATATATGCAGATGCATACATCGTCTCTGGCCATAGATTGTGGGGTAGGTTCGTACCATTGAGCAATGCTCTGCCGTTCCTTACTATCATGCCTCCAGATCTCTCTGCTGGTCCATTCATCTCTGGCAAGCCAGGTGGTGCATGCTCAATGGTACACCCTTCGTCTTCAATCATAGATTCAACCTCATTGCCGGCGCTTCTCTCATTATCATAATGAAATACCCTGATCTCGATTTTCAACCAGTTTCGGATCAATGCTAAGAATTTACGAACTGCCATCTGACACTCGCTCTTCTTTATATGGGTAAATACGAAGTGACACCTTATTCCATCGAGATAGAAGTGCGTCATCCATATATGACCGTTGTAGGCAGGCTGGTTTTGTACTAGATCGAAGTGTACTCTCCCTAATATACCATATGCCTGGCCTATCTTCCGGCGAGAGATTTGCCTAGGTGCATCTGCCAATTGACAAGCTTCACATACCTGCATTTCTTTGCCTGGGTTGCTTGCAATAGTGATTCCTTCAGTCATCTCTGCCAGTTTGACAATTCGCGCCTTGCCAATGTGGCCTAATCGACGATGCCAGAGCTCAATTGAAGCCTCAGATTTTGGCTCCTGATTGGATTTCTTAGTGGCAAACGTCATTTCAGGCTTCAAATCTGATGCCTTTTGGGTTATAAAACCCCTTGTCTGGGTGAGCCATGATAGCTTCTGATCGTGGTAGATCTTATAGATCTGACGATGGCCATCAATTGTCTCAATGCAGTTTGCTCTGAGATTCATTAATAGGCCCCCCTTCATCATCAATCCATGAGATATCAGATTACTATGGAAGTTTGGCGAGTACCTAGTTTGAAATAGGTTCATCTTAACGGCGCTTCCAGTGGTAGGGTTTACACCATAGATGACCACAGTGCCTATACCGGCCACCTTCGTCTCTGTATCTCCCACTTTGACGTTGCTCTGTACGCTTTTAAAGGTGCTAAACAAGCTCCGATTGTTGCATACGTGGATTTGAGCACCTGTATCAACTACCCATCTGTCTTCTGTAGGTGTAGTTGTGGCTTCAAAATCCTTGATTTTTGTTGACATAACGGTGTCAATTTTGACTGCGTTGGTTGTCAAGAAGCCAAAGGCTTCATCGTCGAGGGTTGTATTCGCTTGCTCTTTAGCAAGGGTCCCCCTTGGCCTTCTGCATATGCAGCTCGCTTCTTGTCGACAATTGCCTTCCATCTAGGATTAGCCTTCATGGCCTTCTCCCACTTCTGTTTCAATGCCGGTGAGGGCTGGTAATTAGCAGGCCTTCTATCTTCATAGATTTCCCAGCAGGCCCAAGGCATATGAACTCTCGATTTTACCCTGTCACATGGACATGGCCTTCTTTCTAGGCCATCATTCCTTGCCTCTATAGGCTTTGCTTCTTCATTGCCTTGCCATGTCGAGAAAGCAGCCTTTGAGATGCCTCTTTGCGCAGCCGGCCTGCCATGGGTAATCTTCCAGTGGGCTTTGTACCGAGTCATGATTTCGAAGAAAGGGATGTCCTGATTATCCTGTACTCTGAGAGCCCATGTTTCATAGAATCCAGGCGACATTATAGAGATTGCTTCAAGGAATTGATTCGTGGCATCCTCTGCTTCTGGCATCCTTGCCTTCTTACACGATTGGTAAAGCGATTCCCAGTTTAGAAGCCATTTCTCGATATCGGTGTTCCGATCTAGGCCTCTATCTAGGTTCCGCCACTGTTGACGGAGCTTAGTTTTGTATGTAGGATCGCTCTCTGGTGCAAATCGTTTGTGGAGATTGAGCATCAGCTCCAAAGGTGATGGTATATCAATGATAAAGGGCTGGTAGGGAGTATCAACTGACTGCCTAATTGCCACCGCCACTAGATCTAATGCCTGTAGTTTCGACTGATAGGCTCTGTTCTCTGCATCCCAATCTGCTTTTAGGGATAGCCTCACATTGAACCAGTGTTCTGGGTATTCTTTTATGGCATCTTTGACAGAGATGATCTCTTCAGGTGGTTCCAATTTAGGACGTTCTTCCTCCTTAAGAGACGGATTGCATTGATCCCATACTTTATATGCAACTGCAATTGCTTTAATATATGAGAGCCATGCATCCCATGATTCTGTATCCTTCAAAATGACGCGGGAGGAGGCCGCGGAGAGGCTTGACATGATATTCATTATTGTCGATTTTCGTCGATGAATCTGATCTTCTTCGAAGGAGATAGGGGTGCTTCGACGATTCAGGGGTTGACCGTTGTCAAAACCACTGTGAATCGGCGACAGCTAGGTAAAAGATGGTCTATATGTTGTAGACAGATCTTAATTGGAACGAAGCCGGGCTCATAACTGACAGAAATAGACGGATACGACAATGTATGGTAAATCTGACATATGTAAATTCTCTAACTAACTAAAATGACAAGATCCGCTCTTTTCCAATCTCGGCGGACATAGCTGATTAAGCAATGTATGTATTTTTGTATGGTACCGTTATCATGACGGTCCATTGATTTCCCGGTTTGTAAAGACCTGGTAATTTCAGCATGCATAAATGCATAGTACTTGACATTATGTACATTGCTACATGTCTCTATTAATCTAGCATACACTTCCCCAGATGCCTATACATATCCCAGTATTCCCAACACATATAAGTATACTAATACAGCAATCACAAATCTAACAAATTGACTAGACACTGATATAAGAAAAACAACCAGACTTCGAAAAAGAGCCTCAATCCTTCAGAGCCATCCATGGACGAGATCAGCGATATATGACGTCACCTGGCACTCTTATCGGCCAAGGGAGCGCATCTCCACCAAATCCGACTCTCCAACTCCCTCAATTGCAAGAGAGACAAACAAAACAGACACAATGTCTTTCAGATTATTCACCCACCAACCCGCAACCCTTCTCCGTCTGGGTCTAGGCGTCGGCATCGGTCTCTCTGCCGCAACCATGCACCCCCTGTCACCCTTCCGCGCCGCCCCAATGCAATGCCAGTACGCCGTGCCCGAGCAATCCTTCAACAAAGGTTCAGATTGGGCAGTTAACCCTGCCGAGTCTGCGGGGCAGAAGCAGGCCCGTCCGCGGCGGACTGGGCTGTTGAACGCGGAGACTATGCGCCAGGTTAGTTTGGGGAGTGTGCTGGGGCTTGTTGCTGGTGTTGGGTTGAGAGCATTTTCGAAGGCTTTGGTTGTTATTTTGGGCATGGGAGTTGTTTTTGTTGAGGTATGTATACGCTAATTGCCATAAACCTGGCCTTTCCATTTGCTTTGTTGAGGGTTTCGCTGTCCGAGGTTATGGGTTCAAGAGGGATATACTTGTGACAATACGCTGATACTTTTTCTAAACAATAGTTCGCTGCATCCAAAGGGTACAATATTCTTCCAATCAGCCGGATTCAGAAATATGTTAAGCGCGTTGATCTGCGCCGCGCTATGAGCGAGAAACGGCCGTTCAAGATAAGTTTCGGTGCTATGATGGCGATGGCGGCATTTGCGAATTTCTAGATTTCACTTGGTCGGTTAGACGGACACCTAACGCTACTTGTACATACTCTCGAACAATGCCAAGTTGGGTTTCGCCAATTGATAAGGACGCAGTTTGGGCGGTTGGACGCCCAGATTAGAATTGGTAAAATGTTCATTCGTACAGGGTATCATGAGTTTTGATCTATTCCACGCCAAATACAGGGAGGAATCTACGCTACCCCAGCACCAGATCCTCCAGCACGCCCTCCATTTCATCGCGGGACAGTGGCACACCTAGTATCTCCATGCCGCTTGCATCCATGCGCGAAGTGATCATCTGGTGGTCATGGAACTCCTTTAGCAGAGTACGGAACATCATCTCCGAAGAAGCCACAAACTCTTCCGTTGCCTTCTGGTAAAGCAGACGGAACTCGATGCCAGTTTCATCGCCAGCTTTGCCGCCCCCCTCTGCCTCACCTTCGTCGTCTGATTGGTGGCCGTCGTCCAGTAGAGTGATAAGTTCTGTCAACAGGAGACGGTACAGATTGCGTGCATTCTCGGGAAGACTTTTAAGCACAAAGCCCACGCCATCTTTCCCGCCGACACGGCGGCCCTTGCGTCCAAGGAGAGTATTGACCTCCTCGACGACGTCCGCCTCCGCCGAGAACGGTAGAAAGGTTGTGCAATCATGGAAGACAAAATTGAGTTGATCACGCAGACTAATATCCCACATGACCGGGAAGTTGGGGGTATCTGCTGTGACCAGGAGACGGATGCGCGGTGTTGCAGCCAGACGGGCGAGGAGCGCTTGGTTGGCTGCGCGGCGGAGAGGCGGTGCATCAATAGAGTTGATCAAAACCGTAACGGGCTCTTCGTGCGACTTGAGCGCAGATTGTAGTAGCTCGAGGACCTCCGTTGGCTGTGCACCAAGTTTGGATGGCGCATCGTCACCCATTACGGCCGTGACAATCGTGGCGAATATTGATCGGATGGAGATGCCTGGTGTGTAACCATTGACCATTACAATGATTGGAGTCATAGTGACCGACGAGCGGTGGTTGTAGATCCACTCTGCAAATTCATCCATTAGCTTGCGCTTGGAGCCGTAGCCAAATAGGCAGATGTTGAATCCTTCATCGAACTCGAATGCCCACTGTGGAAAAGATCGGTGGTGCAAGGACTGCAGGTATTCCTTCTCTTCCTTGCACGGATCCTCATATTGTCCCAGTTTCTCGAAATATTCCTCATGTGTTAACAGCGGTACTTTGTTGAGTGTTGCATTTGATGTCTTGACAGGACCGGCGCGGTTCTGGAAGAAGTATCGTTCGTGTGCAGGGAGTTCGCCTTCCGGTGTTGGGGAGCGCTTATTTCTCGCACCTTTCGGTCGTCCTGCACGACGCTTTGGTTGTTTCGCTCCCTTTCCAGGGGCCTCTTCTGCGTCTTCAGGTTCTATGCTCTCCGCCAGAGGCTGACCCGCTTTCTCCGTATCCGGCTCATCACCATGTAGAATTTCTTCAGCTAGTCGTTCCGATCCATCCCATGCTGAATCTTCATCCTGTTCGAATAGTACACGTGCGCTCTTCTTCCGCGCAGACCGGTCTGCATTCTTAACTCGAGATGGGGTCGCTGCGGTTGCGGACTTGGGCTTGGTAGGCGTAGCGAACAAGCCACGAGCCTTGGATTTGTGGGTAGGCGTTTTCAACCCAGACTGTTGTAATGGAGTCGCGGAGACACCGTTGGCCTTCTTAGGTGTTGATTGACCCCGTTCTGGTGGAGGAAGCTCGTAAGAAGCATCGCCGTTCGGTAGTGCGCCGTTGGGCGCGTGGCCGTTCAAGGCGCCATTGGATTGTTCTAGGGCTGTTCGTCTTCTCTTTGGGGTCGATACAGGCGGCTGATCGCCGGCGTCTGAGAGCTTACGCTTCATGACGTTCTAGTCAGATTACAGTCACGTCGACGCGAAGGGGAAAGGAAGCAACAGTACCATCAGATCCGGAGAATGTGCACAGGGTCGGGACGCAAGGGGCTTCCAAGGTCAATAAATTCGAGATCTCGTATTTGCAGGGAGCTGCAGGTCTGACACTGGAATGTAGGGCTTAATTGGGGGCTTAATTGGGGCTCGAAATGCTTGAAGGAATTGAATTGGAGCGGATGGGTTTCTCCGACTCCGCGTCTCCAGGAAGGTATGGCGGCGACTATCGTCTATACTGCCTTGAAATTCAACACAATTCGCGAGATTTTATCTTTAGGTAGTTTATCCTCATATGTGTCATCTACGATACCTACGATGTTTCTGGTAATTAGTTATATAAAAGACTCACTTGATTCTACTTTAGAGCGCTGGACTGAAAAGGTCGCGCAAGTCATGTGCAAATGTGCAGACTAAATTCCAGATTTCAGATTTCTACATGAAGTACTCAAAAGGTAATCCTATACAAGTAAAAACTAAGTCAAATTCTTCCAACATTGAAGATATCCCCAGCTATGTCAATTACAGTGGGCTCATACCGTGCATGCACTTGCCGAGTGGGGAGCTCCCGAGATCGGCTACATTTTTCCCTTTGACTCAACGCGATTTGACTCACAAGAGCACTGCCCTTAGAAAAAGTTGGTGTGTAGCAAGTCTAGCAATACAGACAAGACTCACATATGGTTCCAAATACTCAATCTGCCACAATGGCCACCTCTCTCGCCCGCATGCTCAAGGGCCAAGTCCGATGCTACTCCGCACCGCTGGACATGGCCATTCCGGCCTCCAAACAGCGCTACATCCCCACGACCGGCACCTACCCCAAGGGCTTCCAGGTATCCGGTACCCATGTGGGAGTCAAGGCCTCCAACACCCGCTTCCCGGATCTGGCACTGATCGCCTCCGAAACGCCATGCTCAGCCGCCGCAGTGTTCACAACCAACAAGTTCCAGGCTGCGCCAGTGCAGGTCAGCAGGAAGACATTGCAAAGCCGCAAAGGCAATGGTATCCGCGCCGTTGTGATCAACTCGGGCTGCGCCAATGCCGTCACCGGTAAGGGCGGTCTAGAGGACGCAGTGCAGATGGGAAGAAAGGTGGATGAGTGCAGCGGTGTCGAGAACGACAGCTCGCTAGTGATGAGCACCGGCGTCATTGGACAACGGTAAGTTCACCCGTGGACTACCCTCTATCAATTGCATAGCCCACCCCCCAAGAAATCCCCATAACTAACTACGAAACCACCCACCAGCCTCCCGATCTCCAAGATCCTCGACCGCATCCCAACAGCGCACTCAACCCTTGCCTCCACACACGAAGCATGGCTCACCACAGCCCGCGCAATCTGCACAACAGACACCTTCCCTAAGCTCCTCTCGCGCACCTTCACCCTCCCCTCCTCCCCAGATCGCACCTACAGCCTCGCAGGTATGACCAAAGGAGCCGGCATGATCCACCCGAACATGGCGACTCTCCTCGGTGTCCTCTGCACCGATGCCGCCGTTGAGCCCGCGGCGCTGCAATCGATCCTGAAACACGCTGTGTCGCGATCCTTCAACTCGATCTCCATTGATGGTGACACGAGCACGAACGACACCATCGCAGTGCTGGCGAACGGTGCCGCAGGTGGCGAGATTGTGCGCGCACCGGCCGCATCTGCTAGCGCCGACTACACAGCGCTCCAGGGCGTCGTGACTGATTTCGCGCAGGAGCTGTCGCAGCTGGTTGTGCGGGACGGAGAGGGTGCTACTAAGTTTGTTACTGTGCGCGTGCGTAACTCACCGGATTATGAGTCTGGGCGACAGATTGCTTCCACAATTGCCCGCTCACCGTTGGTTAAGACGGCTCTCTATGGCAAGGATGCTAACTGGGGCCGAATCCTTTGTGCCGTGGGTTATTCGCAGGGTGTTGCGGAGGGTACTGTTGTTCCTGAGCGCACTTCTGTCAGCTTCCGCCCGGTCGATGGCAGTGAGGTTTTGAAGTTGTTGGTTAATGGTGAACCCGAGGCGGTTGATGAGAAGCGGGCTAGTGCTATTCTGCAGAATGAGGATCTCGAGATCGAGGTTGATCTTGGTGGTGGTGAACAGGGCGCTGCTGGGTGTGGTGGTGAGGATGCTGTTTACTGGTTCTGTGATTTCAGCCACGAGTATGTGACTATCAACGGTGATTACCGGACTTAAAAAGACATTATTTTAGTATTGTTAGTGGAATGATAAATCGAGGGAGTTATTTTGGCATTCAAGGACTTTCGGAGCAAGGATGCCTATAGGTACAAAGAGTCACTATTAATATGAACCAAGTTGAGGATCATGGCAAGTTGAATATATGATTTTGGTTTTTCTAGACACATATGGTTACAAGACCCAAAACAGGGCACTTTTCATCGCTGAGCACCGTCTATCAAGTGAGATTAGACCCATATGCCTTTACACATGGACATAGGACGTTGACACGGTTGTGTCGACGTGCAGAGGCTCCCAAAAAGGGTCCTCGGGACGTTCATCAGCAGGTTGATCAACCTGCACGACTGAATATCAATCGGTATAGTTCTAATTTAACCAAACAGACGGCGCCGATCCATTCACCCAAAAAGTATAACATAGAGCGGACAGAAAAAAAAAAGACAGAAAGTAAACAGAGAGGTTGCAAAGGACCGGTGTGATCCTATGTCATGCTGCTCGTAAAAATACGGGCAGTCTCGTTTAGCTGCCGGGGACGAGACCCTTGAGGCCAGCGCCAATGTCACCCTCACGGGCGGCAATTTCGAAGTAGCCGTAGATGATGCTGTATTGAGCTGTTAGCTGACATGGACATAATTGAATTATCAACGGAATAACTTACGTGACGGCAAGAAGAATACCGGTACCGCTGCCGAGGGCACCCATAAGGTCGGAGGCGACGGACAGAGCACCAATGCAGGCACCACCGAAAGCAGCGGCAGTGGGGATAACGCGCTTCAGCTCCTTGTACATGCTCTGTTCGCGGTGACCAGACATGACGAGGCCCTGGTCCTTGAGCTGCTTGGCAACGTCACGGGGAGCGGAGCCGGAAACCTCAATCCAGGTCTTGGAGAAGA